CCTTATACCATGCCCATGCACAATTCTCCCCTCGCCCCACTCTCCCACTGGCCTGCACTCACATTGCAATTAACGTTCCAGGTCTGGGAACGCTTATGTCCTTACGATGCAACTTTTTGTTTTGAAGAAAACAGGAAGAAAAGTGGTCTCGCACAGCACAGTGGCGTAAATCATCGTAATATTACTTATCTTAAAACATACTTTTTAAGGTTAGCGTTTACTTGCCTTTTTTTTTTTTTTACTGTTTGTATACATGCCTGTGTTTTTTTTTTAATGTAAAACGTTTTGAAAAACTACTTTTAAAGGCGTTATATAAAATAAAGTTTATTATTATTATGGCTTATTTCGAGTTGTTTGGGGCGCAGTGACACATGGCCCTCTCACATGCATAATAGATTTAGCAATTATGCAGCGCAGCAATTTTCACTTAATCTTGCTGCACGTATCAGAAGATGCATACTCTGCCCGAGTCCAACTGAACCGTGCCTGAACCCACCTCATCATGCGGGCCTGGGCACGGTTCAGCGCGGAGTGATCACACTAGTCAAGCGAACTGGACTTTGAGGGTCAAACATGCTACAGATTACCTAGTGTGAGCACACCCTTAATGACACTATATCTAAATATCAGTCTATCATTTTTCATTCAGGGTAATATAGTATTTAAATAAAACATTTCAATGAATGTAAATAGCTTGCCATCTTTGGATAAATCTTGTTCTTGGCATTCAGAAACCCAATTCCCTTGTTTCATGGGTGTGTTTCATGGGTGTAGATATTTCTTTGCACTTTATGTGTGTTTATGACATGACAATAAACATGATCTTGACTTGCTTAATGTCTAAATTTGGATGTCAAACTGCTCTCAGTATGTGTTGGCAGAAGAACAGGCAAATTAAAATCCCAAAGGGCGACATGGCTGGGGGCTATTTGTTCTGTTCACATGCCGCACCACATCAGGATAATTAACTAATTATTTGCTACTGTTCAACATACAGTGTGGAGATGTTGCGGGCAAACACAGAGGCCCAGACTGTTCCTTGGAATCATTTGGAAAATAAATGCTGCAACATCATTTTGCCGCTTTTCATTGTTTTTTGTTTTTTCTCTTCCACCCAAATCCTGGATAGACAAGATTACTCAAGCCCATATGACCACGATGGAGAAGAACAAGGCTCACTACGATGGCTTTGCCAGACAGAGAGAGCCTCGATTCTGAAGGAGAAAATCCCTGTTTGTGTTAATTGCTTCGGTGGGGGATGAAACAGCTGTGATGTGTGTGAGTGGGAGAACAAGGCCAAGTCCCGAGGGACAGCAATGTCATTGCGCTGGTTTCAGTTGCTATGGTGACAAAGACGGTGAAAGTACTGAAGGAATTGCTATTACAAAAAGAGGGTGTGTGTAAAAGGCGTTACACTGAATGCCTTCACAGCCACAGACGGACTGCGCACACACACACACACACACACACACACACACACACTCACAGAGACATAAACAAAATCCTTCACATTGCATTAAGAGCTGGCTGAGTGTGATCCACAGCCCTGTTTGTGAACGCTGTGGGCTTTGGGACCATCACTGCTCTCTTTGAATCACTTTAATGGAAGCCGTTTCTATATTAAAATACTCAATTGATTTGACTTTTTGAACCGTATAATTTAGCATGCATTACACAAGCCACTTGTGCAACATCAATGTGAAAATCTGTTGACATACAGTCATGTGAAAAAATAAGTACACCCCATTTTAATTATTATTATTTTTAAATAATAAATTATTATTATTATTTATTTACATATTTGGACAAGCAAACATTTGTTCCTCTTTGAAACTGTGCCTGTTTTAAATGACATTTTGTAGTCATTTTCACAATATAAATGAACAAAAAACAGATCAGTCACATGGAAAAAGTACGTATATACCTACATTTATCACACCTTCAAATCCATAAAATTAGAAACAGGTGTTCAGGACTGGGTGCCAAAGATTAGAGCCTGCTTAGGGAGTGTGGGTGGAACCTATCTTAATTATACCCTCTCATATCTAGTGTCTGGTGTTCCCTTTGCTATTGAGGTGTGTGGTGTCATCATGCCAAGATCTAAAGAGTTCTGTAAGGTCTTCAGAAAAAAGGATGCATAGGAGTCTGGTAAGGGGTTTAAAAAGATCTCCAAATTATTTGAAATACATCATTCCACTGAAAATCATCTACAAATGGTGCATATTTCAAACGACTGCCAATTTGTCCAGGACAAATTCAGCCCAAGAGCAGGCTGTCTGATGCAAAAAGAAGTTGCATTCATTACAGGATCTGCTAGTGAGTCTTGCAACTGTTGGTGTCAGAGAGTATGCTTCTACAATTAGAAAGAGATTGCAAAAATCTGACATGCCTGGGTTAAAAACCATAGCAAGACAACAGTCTGCTAATGAGCATATAACGAAAGACCAGGCCTTTTGGAATAATGTGCTCTGGACAGAAAAATCAAAGATAGATTTGTTTGGCCACAGTAACAGCAGACATGTTCCGTGCAGACCAAAGACAACTTTTCAGGAGAAGTACCTCATACCAACTGTGAAGCACAGTGGTGGTAATGTTATGGTTTGGGGTTGCTTTACTGCCTCAGGGACTGGACAGCTTGCGTTCATAGATTCTGCTATGAAAGAAAACTATGAATTCTGTTCCATAGCAAAGAGTGCTATAAGATAATGTGAACCCATCTGTCTGAAAGTTTATGTTGAACCAAAGGTGCACACTGGCAAATCCACCAAGAAATGGCTCAAAAAGAAGAAATGGGGGGTTATGGAATGGCCTAGTCATTGTCCAGATTTGAATCCCATCAAAATGTTGTTGGGGGGGGGTTGTAATGAGCAGTAAATGCAAGAAAACCCTCACACATGCAACTGAAAGAATATTGTATGGAAGGGTAGTCAAAAATTCCGGCAATTATGCAAAATGTTTACAAGAAGTTATTTCTGCTAAAGCGGTTAATCCTAGCATCTGAGGCCTAGAATGTACTTACTTTTTCCACATAAATGATTGACAAAGCTAATTTTCCATGTGGTTTTGTTCAACAGTTTCCATGGGGTGTAATTATTTTTTCCACATGACTCTATGAGAGTACTCACACACTGTACTATTTATCCGATGTTTTGCTTTATGCATGGCAAGCCTTTAGTGCTAATACATGGTAACTGCCTCCTAAGGAATAAAACACAACACTTAATATTGTGAAACATCTGCAAGACAACCCTGTGGCTATCCTGAAGATTCTCTCATGGTGGGAAACGTACTGTTACAAAGAGCTGGCACTCCATCCCCAAATGTTAAATAAACATTTCCTTACAGAAAACTTCACCATATCAACTATTATAATGTTTTATTTGTTAAATAACAGAATAAAAAATCTCTTTATTATTAGGCCTAGATTATGTGGAGCATTTGCCTTACCAGTTGTTGCTATAGAAATGATACCAAATTAAAACAGGTGCATTAATATAACCATCTATCCATCGATTTTCCATACCACTTATCCTACACAGGGTTACAAGGAGAGCCTGGAGCCTATTACTATTACTGGAACTCAGGGCAGGGGCCAACCCATTGCAAGACACGATCGCACACACATTCACACACTACAGACAAGTTGGTACTGGCAATAAGCCTACAACGCGTGTTGGGACTGGGAGAGAAAACCAGAGTACCCGTAGGACACCCTTGAAGCACAGCGGAAACATGCAAACTCAGTGCACACAGAGCAACCACTAAGCCACCACATTCATATAACTTATGATTTGAATGACGACTGGCACTATTATCAATGAATCACCTTCTGACCAAATAGATGTAAGAATTCAACAGCATATAATTTAATACACTTGGGGAGGGCGGTATATGAGATATATGTCATATTGAGTTTTTAGGCAAATATGTAAGCAACACATATTTCTTGACTGCTGACCATTTCAGCCATGGGGTTTAAATTTGTCTCCTAAGACAAGCAGAGAAAATTAGCATTGATTTCCTCAAGTCTGGATCAATACGGAGCACCCCCAAGTGATCCACTGGCTGTGCTATTGAGTGCTTTCTAAAGGGCCTTTCCGAAGTAGATTGTCCACCCCCATGTTTCTATTTAAGTCTTCTCTAACCAAATAAAGCTTACATGTTTACTGTCCAGGCAACGTGGCCCAGCAAAAGACCAGTAGATACTTTCCCAGGCTCTTTTATTCTGCTCCATCAATGCCTTGTCCTGTTTAAAAGACTTATTTAAACTTGCTTCCCATCACTGCTTCACTGAGTATTACCCTGTGCTTAAATTTTCATGAATATGCATGAGGAGTGCTATTCTCATGACATTCCCTGATTTAGTAGGAAGCTTGACGGCCTGAATGCCTTTAGACACTTCACATTAAATGACTATCAGTGCAGATTTTTTTTAAAGCTACTTGGAGATACTCTTGCAAGTCAAGTGACAGAGCAGTTTTTTTCTTTCTTTCTACTAATGCAATAGCATTTTGAACAATATACATCTGAAACTGAATTGAGCTTAATGTCATTTAAATGATTACAGAGCTGCTGAGGTCACATGGTTCATTTGTGTTGTGGCCATGAACTGTGTAACTGGAGTCCATAATATGCTGAAATTATGCTAATATCTTATTGTTAATTTATGTTAGGGAATGTCTTTATATGTCATTCCAAGACTGAATTAAAGTGCAATAATCAATCACCTCTATGCTTAGGCTCATGTGGTCAATGGTCTAATTCAATTGATTTCTCTGTCTTACTCATTTTTATAATATTCTAGTCACCACAAATTAAGCATTTCAAGGCCATGAAATAGAATTAAATAAACTTAACACATGGCCTTAATGAGTTAATTGTTGCCATACTTTGTTTTTAAAAAAATAACCACAATGTCACCCCACTGTCTTTGTACATTTTAGACTAACGTGATGAAACAAGTCTTTAATAGCAAATTAACAGTACAACAGCAAACATGGGGTGGTGGTAGTACAGTTAATAATGTACATCAGACTTCTGAGCAGAAGGTCGTGAGTTCAAATCCCAGCACCACCAAGCTGCCATTGCTGGGCCTGTGAGCAAGGCCCTTAACCCGCAACTACTCAGTAGTATAAATGAGAAAATGTAAGTCGCTCTGGATAAAGGTGTCTGCCACATGCCATTAATGTAAATGTAATGAAAACATAGTCACAAATTCTATTTTTGCTATCATACAGTACATGCCTAATTTGCATAATAATGCTGGATGGTTTAAAATAAATGCTATCTGTTAATATAGCCAAATACATAGCAGTACAAAGTCAAAAACAAACAAGAATTTTACTTTCTAAGAACTGCTGCTATAAACACTCTGTTTATCTTTACTCTTCTGCACCTGTACTGTAATGATTTATAAACTTGTTGTCTGCAAGAGGAGAATGGGTTCCCCTTCGAGTCTGGTTTCTTCTTCTTTTTATCTCAGGAAGTTTTTCCTTGCCTTCCTGTTGCCTCTGGTTTGCTCAGTAGGGAGCTAAAGCTACACTTGTCTTTCTGTACAACTGGTTTGTATCAATTCAATCAACTCAAATCAACTGATGATTAAAAAACAAGTTCTCTCAGGTATAGTGTTATAAGGAAATGGGATATTCGATTCTTTTAAGCATCTTTGGCTCTCACCTGCTTTTGCCTTTGCAAGTCCCAGACAGTGTTAATGAAGATATTTTTAGTTGAAAAATGGTCTGATACTTAATGTCCTTTTTGAACAACATTTCTCTATAACATTCAATATTATACTTTTTCTAGAGATGCACTAATCCAGAAGGTAAAAAAATAAATCTCTAAGATAAAAAAAAAAAATTATATAAAACATTTTGGGTGCCTTTTGCATAGTACTGTAAATATTGCATTATTTATTATAATGCACCCAGACCTTTTTTATTCAAATGTTCAAGGAAAATTAATGAAAAACATTTCTTCAGCCTGTATTTATAGGATGGTGAACCCATGAACTATCTAACAAACAAAGCCACTGCTGTGAAGTTCTTTTTTCTTCCAGCTCTGCTCTAACAAACCTCTTGGTATTCGTCTTGTCTTCCCAAAACACACCACACTCCAGCTCAGCAGCCCAACTATGAAATCTGAATTTCAGACGATCACTAGTGTACAGAAATTTTAAAGCCATATGATAAATCCATTCATAGCCTCGAGCTAGACTTCAAATAAAATTCAACTGTTTAGCATCAAGCCAAACATTCAGCGACATCAGGCAGAGGATGTGTGATTATTTCCATCTGTTCTTAAACTTTAGTATCTCACTCAGAGGAAATAAATATTCTAAATAGAATCTTCTATTAATGTTACTGTCTTTTTCTATACATAGTCAAGTCCTGTTTGAAATCAGTGTGGCATTTGAAAAAAAATCTGCTCTTGAGAAAGGGATTAATGTTAACTTTTGAATTCCCAATGTATGTCTAATACTAAGGTTTGTCAGTCATTAAAAAAAAGAAATAATACGAATGCATTTGAAAGCACTGAGCAATTCTGCAAGGACCTTCTATACTTGTGACTTCATTTCTGCTGCTGTGAATGGTCCCATATGAATACCCTAAAGATTTGCCTTTCTAAACAGTTTATGACTAAACTTCACCTTTGCTTATATGGATAATCTCACCTAGATATTGTACATTTATTCGTAATATGCTCATACTGAACATCTGTTTCAACCCACAGCACTGTTTGACTTTATAATATACTGTTGTAGAAGAGTAATGATTTATAATCTCATTATCTGGTGTCACCCAGAAGAGGATCGGTTCCTTTTTAAATCTGGTTCCTCTCAAGATTCTTATCATCTATCAGGGAGTTTTTCTTTGCCAGTATCGCCTCTGGCTTATTCATTAGGGCTCTAAATATAAATCAGCACATAGATTTCTCTAGAGCTGCTTTGTGACAATGTCTAATTTCCAAACATTCATTTTCGATCACAGAAAATGCATCTTTTTTTTTTTTTTTTTTTCCAACTGCTCTCTGGCGCACATTTGAAAGTGCATGAAATACTTCCTAACCCATTTTAAAAACAAAGCAAATTTCCACCGTTGAGTTAGGAAGAGAGCTTTTTGAAAAGTATCTGTATTCGTTTGGTTATGGCCTCATATTATTCTAGTCTTTCAACATCAGTGTATAATGAGATGTTATACTTTTCTAATTTGTCTTAGAATTATATTAAGGAGTACAATATTCTCGAAAAAGAATTTAAGGAGACAGTGACTCTTAATTAACATAGCACTGAGATATGCTTTATGTCTCTGGAGATAAGCAAAACAAACAAAAAACAATCTTAAGCGAGACTTTTAATGAGAAGCTTTTAATGAGAAGCTTCTTTGGTTATAGCTAATCCTGTATTACAATACAACTAGAGATTATCCCATATTCATGAACTGAGATACAGATCAGAGAAATAGAATTGATTATAGCTGACCCCAGAGAAACATAGCACATATATTTTAAAGACCAGCTAGATGTAGGCCTTCTCCCCAGCTGTACTGATGTCAGATGCTTGCAGTAATAAATCTCAGTTTGCCACCATTTTCAAATTCTCGTGCTATTGCATTTCCTCATTCTGTCATTAATTCAGTGGAATTCTATAGCAAGATCAGCCCAATTTGTTCGACCACCATCGCAATTTGTACACATTTTTTTTAGAGATTGTTTCTCACCTTTAATATTAACGGTCTGTAACTGTTCGTTTGAGTTAGCTCTTGCAAATGTATAAGAATTTGCAGATGTAATGGTGTTTTTAGACAACAGCGGTCTAAACGAATCAACTGGTGGACCATTCTCAGGACCCAGCCAAATATCAACGGGGAACACTTGAAAAATACTGTCAAAGAACTGATAAACAATGGGAATACACTTCTAATATATTTTTCTCATGTGACCTCATAGGGGTGCCAATAATTGTTTAACAAAGATAAAAAAATTTTTTTGATAAACCTGTGTTTTTTATATCCATGAGAGCAAAGAAGGCTGTGGACAATTTTTCCAATTTTTACCAAGGATGCCAATATTAGTGGAGTGCACTGTAATTGTTGTCACCCTTCAATCATTTTAATTGCTTATCAAGATATTTTAAAGGAATTTTTATAGGCGGGCCTTCACAATTTTAGCCGAATACCTCTGTTCTCGATGAATAAGCATGCAGCGAGGCAGCCAGCTGACCTTTAGGACTTTCACTGTCCCCCGATATCCATTTGACTGAGAGGAGATAAGAAGTGAATTACCTTACTGCTTTCTCCAGATGGGGACACACAAGGCCATGTGTAGGTAAGCTACAGGGTAATGGGAATAAAGGAAACGGGGGATGGGAGACATTTTGCTGTAGCATCCATGCGGAAAGTCTGGGTACCAACCGACAATACGAAAAAGGCATCAAATGAAGATGTAATTTTGTAATTATCTGCATATCTTCTGTCACGAATCAAATCCAATGCACTAAATGGAAAGGATGAAACACTGGAAATATTATTCGGATCATTTCAGCCATCTTGCTTTTAACAAGTATGAGCCTTCAATGACTGTGACATCTTTGCACTAAAAGGGAAACTCCGTTTTGTAATCACTCCCTTTGTGATGTCTCACTAAAAAGCACAGTGAAAGTGAAATAAAGCAGCATCCCTAACGAAGTAAAAAATGATTGTAGGAGGTAAATGGATGAGAAACAGGCAATAAAAGGCTGATGAAAGGTTTGTGGTGTTGTAACTCAAATTGCATTCATTTGCTTTATCAAGGGATGGAGATGTCAGAAAGCAGTCAGAGGCTGTACGGCTGAAGCAGCCTCAGTGCTTTGTTAAATTTCTATTTATCTTCGATATTATTCTTAAGAAGAAGAAGAAGAAGAAGAAGAAGGAGAAGAAGAGGAAGAAGAAATATTGAGTATTTCAGAAACTGCTGATCTCCTAAGATTTTCATGCTTTCATGATTTTCATCTCGTGAGTTTACATAGAATGGTGTGGAATAACAACAGCAAAAAAAGCATCCACTGAGCTACATTTCTATGCCCAAAATACCTTTCTGATGAGAGAGGTCAAAGGAGAATGGCCAGTCAGTGCTCGAGTGGACAGGAAGGCTATAGTACATCCAATAACCACTGTTTACAATTGTGGTGAGCAGCAAAGCATCTCAAAACACACATGTCAAACCAACAAAAGCAGAAGACCACATCGGGTTCTACTCCTTTTAACTAAGAACAGCTGCAGTGGGAACAGGTTCTCATGTTAATAGAGGCTTTGATGGACAAGAGTATAACATCAGCTTCACTACTGTGCACATGTTTTTTTGGAGTACACATTTTGTTATAGATGTTTATTTTTTATTACTTCTGCCATAATGAGTCAGCACAAAATCATTTTATATTTCTAAACATCACCTTTTCAACAACAACAAAAAAATTACAATGCCACCAAAAGAAATGTTTGTATGTCAGTAAAGAAAGCGACATATTATCTAACTTTTCGGACAAAGTACTTAACGGATGCTGGGTTCACAGGCGAAAAAAAATAAACAAATGCAACAGTCAAATTCTCCAGAAGAACTGTGGCCGATTCTCCAAAATGCTCACCAGTTAATTTCCTTACAAAACTGCACAAACTGTGCCTGAGACTACTGACGTTTATTATTTTGTTGAAACACCAAATATTCACTTGGTTCAGTTTAATACGGGTTACTGCTCTTCATAGTATTTTATTATTATTATTTTTTTTAATGTAGAAACATTTAATTTTGTTATTTGTGAAGGCATATTTGGCATTTCTTTGCATAGTACTGTATATGCTTAAGGACTGAAACGTCTTGAAATATCTGACATACTGTAAGTTATTAGACAGGCAGACATTGAAAGAGATAGAGCATCTATCCCCAGGAGTAAAAAACTCACCCTGAGCAATAGCAAGCAACCAGCATGAACAGTGCTTCATATCGGTTTAATAAAAGTCATAATATTGAAAGATTGAGTTTTTGAGGAATTCATTTCATTTGAATGAAAAGACGGAATACAATGTTTCTTTGGGTTAAGGTTAGAC